CCGCCTGCCCGCCCTCCCCGGTCGCCCCACCCCCAGCGTGTCCTGGACAACCGAGTCCCTCTGGGTCCTGGGGCAGGTGGAGCCCAGGACCCGCCAGTGACGCTCCTGGTAGCCGCTGGGGCGGTGGGGCGCCTGGACCCCTGTTCAGACGCTCAGGGACTCTTTTCTGCCGGCTGCCCTGCGTCTCTGGGGTTGCTGTGAATCCCCATCTGTGTCCCTGCGGGTCAGGTCCTTCCAGTGCCCTGTCTGCGGCTTAGCGCAGCCTTGGCTCCGCGCACTGTGGGCCAAGGCGCCTGCCAAGCATCAGCTGCTTCCTGACCCACCAAGGACCCCAAAAGGCAGGCCCCAGGCTCTGAACCCCAACTCTCACCAAGTTCGCCCGCACTTTACTGAGAGTTGAGCTCAAATGACCTTAACACAGAGGATCCATTTAGTGACAAAACAAACTCAAAGAGACCACGACTTGCACAAGAAGAAAGGGTGTTTCCAGGGTCACGCCGGTGTGTTGGTAGCGACAAAAGGTCACCAAAAATGCACTCAGTGATTGTTGCTTAATTTAGTGGTCAGAAATCTCCCAGGATTCAGTTCCCGGATGTCCAAAAATAAGTGGGAAAAAACAGAAAGTGCAAAACTTGTAAGTCAGGCGTTTGTCACAGCACATTGTTACAACTGTCTTATTTGGTTATGATTTGCCCTGTTAATCCTTTGCTGTGCCTAGATTATGAATCATACGTTATGACAGGCATCTATGGATACTGCACAAGTGTAGTCTATTAGGCTTAGGTACTAGCTGAACTGTCTACCTCCTCTGAGAGTTTTGGAATGTGTCCCAGGGTTAAAGTGGAGGGAACCTTCTTATTTTGAGGGCTCAGGTTCTGATTGCTTGCTGAGAATCTCCAGTTTGGGTGCAGGGAGGAAATGGGCCTCCCAGCGTCATCTTGATTGTGTGGCCATTAGCAGTAGGGACTCCACTCTGGTTCGCCATGGGCTGTTGGACCCTATGCAAAACCAGAGGCTTCCCACAGCTGGATAATTCTCTCGGGGCTCAGTTGGCCTCATAGGAGTGCGGTTCAAGCCCTCCCCAGACCCCTGACATCTACATGTGCATGGTGTATATTTTGCATCCCAAATCCTGTACGTTTATTTTCTGCCTTTTGTTTTCCTCTGCAGGGACTCCACGCCGTTTCTCCTCCTTGTATGTTGGCTTCTGCAGACCTGTGAGCCGAAATCACCGAACGCCTCCAAGCCAAACATCCTGCTGATCTTGGCAGATGATCTGGGCCTCGGGGATATTGGTTGCTATGGGAACCATACACTGAGGTAGAGTGCGGTTTGGGTGGTGGGGTGGTGCTGTGTGTGTGTGAAGTTTAGTGGAATAATTTACTTAAAATCGACCAGTGCAAATGAAATTTCTTTTTTCTTTTTCTTTTTTTTTTTTTAAGATGGAACAATCCTTTATTTTATACACTTTGAAGTTTTCAGTAAACAATCTTTCAATGGAAAAGAGAACATGAAACATCAGCCTTTTGCCATCAGCAGCTGCTCTGCTCAGGGCCTAGGATCCACCTTGCCCAAGTGGTGAGGTGAAGGGGTATATTTCCCTTCCTTTATTAGCTTATCCCGCTGCTTCTTGATGGTATTCATATATTTCATCGTTTTCAGCCGAGGCAAACATTCTACTAAATCTTCATATTCTATCTTGCACTCTTTCTGGGTGCGGATATTACCAATTCCATGTGCACACTATATCCATTCTTTTCCAAAAGCATGGCATCGAGAAGGAATCTGGTAGGGCTGATCAGCCCTTTGGATTGTTAGATGATGGTCTAAGTTAATGCTCTTAGTGCTGCGGAACTCAGCACCAAACATGATTCTTTTCCAAGAGTAAAAATAGGGTCTTAGCCCTCTCAAACAACTTGAGGCCTGGCTGAGTTTGTGTGGGTTTTCCTGGGGCTGCTGTAATAAATAACCCAAAACAAAGAGACTTAAAAGTAATCCAGGAACCACCTCCCCACCCCAGCCCTGGAGGGCAGAAGCTGGACCAGGGTCCCAGCCTGAACTCCCTGCACAGGCTCCAGGGAGGCTCCTCCTGCCTCTCCAGCTCCTGGGCTTCAGGTGGCCCTGGGCTGGTGGCCCCTCACTGCAGTCTCTGCCTCCATCTTCATGTGGCTCCTCCTTTGGGTCTGGGTCCCCTCCTCTGTCTCTTGGGAGGACACGGCCATTACATGAGGGCCCTCTGACCCAGGAGGAGCCCATCTCAGACCCTTCACTAATGATCTCTGCAGAGAGCCTGTTTCCATACAAGGTCCCACTCCCAGGTTCTGGGGTCAAGGTGTGCACAGGACCTGCCTCTTACAATGGTGTCCAGCTCCCTCCACGGGCTCCAGGGAGGCTCCTCCTGGCTCTCTCAGCTCCTGGGGTTCCAGGTGGCCCTTGGCAGAACAATATGGTGACCCCTCAAAAGCTTAAGACTGAATCACAGTATGACCCAGCAATGCCACCGCTGGGTTCAGACCCAAAGGATTTGAAAGCAGTGAGTCCAAAAGATACTCATATGTTCTGTGTTCACAGAAACCCTGATCCCCGGTATGACTGAGGACTAGGGCAAAAATCATGTCTTAGTGGGGTGTGGGGGAGCCAGGGCCAAAATGGGGGCCAAAGAGAAGTTCTGAATGGGGGTCTTTGGAGGCCAGAGGATCTTAGAGAGTGTGGGGTATTGTCTTATTTTGGCTAAACTGTATAGAGGATTACACACAGGCTTATAAAATTGTCCTCCATTCTGAGCTCTTTATTCTCAGGGTTAGCAAATCACTAGAATTTTACCCCAAATCCATAAGCATGCATCTTATGTATGCATCCATGAATGAGCTATCCCTCCAACCACCCATCTACCCATGTTTTCATCCAGGCATCATCCATTCCTCTATCTGCCCATCCACCTATGGTAGATGGATAGCTGGATGGGTGAGTGGATGGATGGGTGGGTGGATAGATGGGTGGGTAAATGGGTGGAAGGATGGATGGGTGGGTGGATGGGTGAGTGGATGGATGGATGGGTGGGTGGATGGGTGAGTGGATGGATGGATGGGTGGATGCATAGACAGACAGGTAGATAGACAGACAGAGCTCGGATGGATGGGGGGGGTGGATGGATAGATGGGAG